TCCATTCAAATTAATAATGTAAGTAGCCTTTGAATATAGCAAATTCACTTCGTCTCCCCCCCCCCCCCCGGGTTTCCTGTAGACTTACATGTATGCCTCACAGCCCCAGCGTTGTCACTCAGGATCAGGTGTTGAAATGGCAAAGTGGTCAGGTGGACCTCACATTTGTCGCTTTCTGCTAAGACTTTTGGGTGTGGTGCTTGTGGTAAGCACTGCACCCTGGAGGCAGCAGTCTGGCATGCCTTGGGGGGGGGGGTTAGTATGTTACCCAGACCATCTCTTGAAAGCAACGTGATTGTGACCAGTGCTCCCTCTAAGCTGTGGAGTCTTGTGAGCAATAATTCTACTTTGTGAGCGACTGGCATTAAAGTTGTGAGCGAGCGAGTTGGCCACTGCATAAATTAATTTGCTCTGGAGCCATCCTTCCTGAGCTAAGACACAAATGTGTGAGCCGGAGGCGAAAAAACTGTGAGCTAGCTCACACTAACTCAGCTTAGAGGAGACACTGATTGTGACTAGTTAGGTTCAAGTCCAGTAGTCCCCAATTGCGGTGTGGAAGCTTTCGCAAACCAGAGCTGCTTTCACCAGATACAGAATCCGGGTGTTCTACTGTAGCCCCAATATGGCTCTCCTCTGGAACAACGTCTGGGACTACTGGCTTTCACAGATACCCTGTGGCACAACACACAGTATGGAAGAACGATAATTAGTGCAGTAAATACTCATTATAAATACGAAAATTAATTCAATGGCATTTCTACAACCACAGGCTGGATCTGGGCTAAATTTTCCGCTGGTGAAACAGAACTTTCCTGCCTCTTCGAAAAGGCCCTGGCCCTGGTTGAGGAGATCCACATAAGAACATAAGAACATAAGAGAAGCCAATGTTGGATCAGGCCAAAGGCCCATCCAGTCCAACACTCTGTGTCACACAGTGGCCAGAAATACCAGTGCCTTTTGATGCCTCCTCCTGCTGGGCGTTTGCAACACGGAAGCGAAATAGTCATTGAACACCTTTGTAAAGAATGTGAGATGTATTCAGTAGTATATACGCAGGTTTATATGTGGCTGTAAGGCTGTTTCTCTCTTCCATGATCCGGTATCCTGACACGTTACGGGCTTTTATTTGGTTCATTCTCTCTTTCGGCTGTTTGACCACAGGGCTGTTTCAGAAATGCCAGGGATGTTGTATGAGGCTGTTCCCTCATTTAATTTCTTGATAATGTCTTGATTCGTTTCACAAACCATAGTTGTGTTTTTTCCCCCCCATACGGCGAAGCACGTATGGCATGACCCTTGTTTCTGGAATGCCAAATTCCGAGTTCACAACTCCCCTCTTGGCTTGTATTTCCCTGAGAATGTCCAGTAATGGAAGGGGTTGTTTTTGTCAGTTCTCCCCTCATTTCCAGTCAGGAAAATGGCGTGGGCGCGAAGGCTGAAGCCCTCCCTTTGCATGAGCCACAGTAGTGGTCCCAGTTGAGCACCGCGTGTGGGGAGAGGACTGTGGAGCACCTTCAGTTCACATCTCACTGTCACCCATGACATGGGATGGGGACCCTTGACCCAGCCTGTGTATTCCTCCTGAATGCGTGACAGGGTTGCTTCCAAGGTAAAACGTGGGTAAAGGAAGAGAAAACGCCTTGTGTGCCACGCGGATTCCCTTGGAGAGAGGGCTGGATAGAAATGCTTAGGCAGGATGTGTAGAATGGATCGAAGAGGCCTCGTGAAATGGGAACCACATCTGAATGGCAGCGGCAGCCATCGGCCTGTGCGGGCCTCAGTTGTGTGCCACTGACCACTTTGTTGCCCAAAGGGGGTCCTTTCTGTGGGTCGTTGGTCATAAAAGCCCCTCCTTTTATAGTTTTAAGCTTCATTTTTTCACTTCCTTAAAAACTTTTGTCTCCTAACGTCAGTGGTACAAAAAGATGCTAGTGGGAGTAAATTTGGTGAAGCAGACAGATTTCACGTGTTTTCATAGTAATGACTCTTGCCTTCCTCGTTAATTTATTTGGGATAGAAACGAAGGTGTTTCCCTTCATTTTTTTGTAGAAAGAAAAAATCCCAAATTCAAGGTTTTCTGTGGAGACGGATTAAATTTAAGTAGTTATCCGTCGACCTTACAGCTATTTTACACATTTTATTTTTATAATGTAATTTATGTTTTTAAAAAATGTGTGCTTCCTGGAAATGTAGTACATTGTCTGTTGTACAAATTGCCCCACGGCAGCCATTTTTAATAGAGGAACTCCACAGTACGGCGGATGCCTGCCTGCTACTGAGATATTTTGCCTGAAGGCAGTTGACGTATTTAAATGTATTTCCATTCTTCAAAGGACAGTATTGGAGTTCAGCTAACTATATTTCTGTACATTATACAAACTGAACTTAATATTTAGGTGGGTTTTTAGCAAAAGGCAGGATCAAGGAACATTTATTACAAAGTATTAAAGTAAGATAATGTTATTTTGCTATCGAGCTGGGCAAACTGAAGAAGCAAGCAACCCAAAATGATTCCTGGCACACAGATAAACATTCAGGTCTTCTAGTAGTTAGGGCTCTGTGAATTTTTGTAATTAATAGCTCAGTTTCTCCACAGATGTGGGGCAGTTATTAACATTTCCACTGCTTATCCTCACTGTGGATCTTGGTAAACAGACATACATTACTTCACATTACAGCTGTGT